AAAAAAAAGAAGTGGTGGATCATTTTCATCACTCAAAATTTTTGAACAGTGGGAACAGAAATTCCCTTTCATTGAAGAATTTCTTTTCCCCCCTCTGCTACCCTTCATATTTGCGTCTTGTTTTTGACCATTAGCTCGCATCTGAGGTTTAAAATTGATGATAATTTTCCATATTTAAGAAGGAATTGAAAAATGAATGTTCGGTTGATCTCATGCATCTTGAACTCTATACGTATTTATGGAATTCAGCACAACTGCATCAAAGGGCAGAATTTTCTACTCTGAAAATGTAAAACAGTTGGCATTTCTTTTTCTCCTCAAAAGCATTGGATGATTGTGAGTTATTCTTTTGTGCACTTTAAAGAAATTGGTTGATCTTTTGAGAATTACTTCTGTGGTAAGCATAGATTACAGTTCTGCCATGTATTATTTTCTATGTTTGGAAAAACTATTACTTCTCCAGTGCCAAGCTATTATCTCTTCTGCTGGAAGAATCTATGTATGTCCGGCTCTAACAGACTCCAACCTTTCAGTCATAATGACACATAAAACTCACGCCTGAGCATTGACTGCTTGAGGTAAAGAGCAAGGCTTATCAAGTCTGCATCCCATCAGTGTAGGGTAGACTACCCTCCCCCCTTTTAGACCCTTGCCCTTCCCAACTCCATGGAAGGTCTATGGGAATGAATTGATACCCCTCTTTTTAGTGGAAGGGGGGGGGGTTAAAATGCAATAAAATATTATGGCATAAAATATGAAATACATATGCACTTTGAGTCACTGAGTCATTATCAAGATGATTTTTGTAGGTTATAACAAGTTAGCATGCTCCACCATAATATTCCCAAGATGTAAAGATCTTATATGTGCAACACACAATGCCAATCACCCCCAGAAAATTAATAAAATAAAAGGAGGGGAAGGATAAAAGTATGTTTTTAAAAATAGAAATCAGCATCACAAGCATGCGATTCAGATTGACATTTCTAACTTCTAATGATGAGTGTATTCTAGCCTTTGGTGATATATATATCCTTTTCCCTAGAGCTCTAACTGACTTCCTTTCCCAAGCACATGGGCCATAAATTATGACCAAGACAAGCTAACTAACCATATTAGATGTAATTTAGCAATAATAATTGCTCCAGACCTAATATTTAACTCAGATTTACATTTAAATGCTTTCTTCCAATAACTGGAATAACTGTTTTTCAAGAAGGCCCTTGTAAGAATTCTCTCTTTGGCACGTATGTTAGCATTATACTTCAGGGCTATCAAAATTGTATATAGGGTGGATGAGGGTGTTGTGCATTATGAAATATGCTACATGGCATAATTCCAGTTGTTAGTTCTGACTAAAATATGCCCAATGAATTTTGCATAAGTGACTAATCATGTTCCTGTTGTTCAATGGATCTCACACATGGAACACTTGCCTACTATATTTGGAGAAGTCTAGGGTGAAGGTGGTCATCAGAAGCTTGGTGTATTGGTTGCTGAACATTTTGTAAGATGAAAAGATACAATACAAGTCTTCAATTGACACCAAAAAAAGAAAGAAAACGAAACAACAGAGTGCCATCAAGAAAAACTTGTGCTTGGCTGATTGTTTTTTGTTTGTTTGTTTGTTTTTGCTAATTATCAGTGTTAACCCATCATCATGATAGAAATAAGAAGAAAGCAGAAGAAACAGAAATAAATTTCTACAAACTGTGGAAACTCTTTTCCTTTGTGACCGACAAGAACTGGCTTAGAGAGGGAGAAATTATTCAAGACCTATTACCTGTGAAGATTCTTTGTACAATGATGGTAATTTTGGGGCCTTGTTGAGATCTTGTGCCAGTTCAGGAGGCACTGACCTGAAAAGTCATTTTGAAACTGCGATTATGAATGCTCAGTATACTAGATCTCATATACTGAATGAACTAATAGACAATTGTGGTGACAAAATTGTTGAAAGATACAATGAATCATAGTGCTTCTCTGCTTTGGCAGATGAAATTTGGATATGAGTACCTCAAAACAGTTATTATTCTCACAAGGTATGTTGATGATGAAGCTGCAGGAATAAGAAGACATAGGCTTTGTGAAGATATGACAGGTGGAGGACTTGTAGGCATTGTTTTGAGAACACTCAAGAAAATTGAGCTGAACTTGCAATACATGTACGGAAAAGATTATGACAGAGCTGCCAATATGAGTGGTCATATTAGTGGTATATAGACAATTATATTGCAGAAGTATCCAGTGGCTTCCTTCATCAACTGCAGTTTACTATCTAAATCTAGCCTTAGCAAAGACTTTCAGAATTCTACCTGTCAGAAACTGCCAAGGAACAATATTATCTGCGTGCAATGTCTCCAGAGCATCATCCACCAGACTGGAACTGTTGAAGGAAAACATACAAAAAATGTTTCCTTGAATCAAGAGCACACAACCTGTTGCCGCTTTGTTGTTGAGCGGGATGATGCAGTTTTACATTTTGTTGAGCTGTACAGTGTGGTAGTGAGAATACCTGATGAACTAAAAGAGAGTCCTCTGTACAACAGTGAGGATTCTTCCCAAGCTGGACACCTTCTTTTAGCTGTTTTGAATGCTGCATTTGTAGTAACCATACACATCCTAAGAAAGATTTTGTTATCACTTCTTCAGCTTAGCAAAATATTACGAAGAGCAGATATGGATATTTTCTGTAGTCTGCAACATGTCAACAGTCTCTGAGAAAAAGCCAGGGAGATGAGAACAGAATCTATGAAAGAATTTCAGGAGACCTTTGACACAGCAAGATCACAGCAAGTGGTGGAGTCCATGGGTGGAGAAGTTAGGATTCTTCATGTCTGCTCAAGGGAGACTTGTAAAAGTAACATCCATGTAACTACACCTGGAAATTTGTAGGCTAAATGTGCACATCCTATTTCTGAACTTTTCTGCAGTCAGTTTCAATAAAGGTTTACAAGGCACATGGAAATAATTCAGGAACTGCAAGCATTCCTCCCTATTAATTGTGGCCATTTAAAATCCAACTTGAACAAGTGCACAGAACTTTACAATGAATGCCTTCAAGATACTGACACACTGATGGAAGAATCTGACCTGTGGTGTATAAAATGGAAAAATATTACACCTGCAGAAAAACCACCAAATGCACAGGAAGCATATTGTGTTTATGATAGATAGTTTTTCCCGAATGTGAAGACATTTCTTCAGATTTTTGCAACATTGCCAGTTTCAACAACTTCAAATGAAAGGTTGTTTTCAACTTTTAAACCTTTAAAACATACATAAGAAAGACAATGGGGCTGACCGGACTTGCACTCTTGAGTGCCCACTGAAGTTTATCGATGGAGCTTGATTTCTTTATTGACACAGTTTTCTGTATCGACACAGTTTTCAAATGTTTCCAATACTTGGCATTCTTTTGCAACCATTACATTACCAATTAAGAGTCATGTTCAAGATTTTTTAGACTTGAAACTTTGTAGCCAAAATAGAAATTTGAATTAAGTCTATATAAAAATATAGAATGAGTCATAGAATTTAAATTATTTTGTGTTATGGACCTACTCTTCACGATCCACTAAAAATGCCCCCCCCTCCCGGCTACAGGCCTGGTTTCAAGCATTTCTGGAATGTGCAGAATTAACTGGAACTGGTGGAAATGTGCCCAAAAGATGCGGGAGGGGGCTTGCACATCAAAACAGGACAAGGCACAATTAATCTGTAACCCAACAATTTACTTAAATTTATTACATCACAATAGGACAATCTAGTAAAATACACAAAATTCATACCAATCCACATTGCCAATGTACAATTTTATAGGGTTAGCATCTTTCTTTATATTAATTTTTTTTTAAAGTGAGCTACTGCATTCCATTTACAATAGCTGAAACATACTATCGTTTAGGCAGTTCAGAGAGATCTAATTAACACTTTTAACACTAACTTCATAGATCTTTTGGCACTTGAAAACAAAACAAAACATTACAAGAAATTAAATTTCATATCATATAAGTTGAAACACAGCACAGTGTGAACCATCTAATGATAGAAAACAAATAAAGTGTCTTTTAAGTCATGACTGAGTCCAAGAATGTATTGATGGAACATAGCCATCCTTACTTTATTTTTGCTATTCTTTTCAACTTGGCAATTATGTAAACGTTCTTGGAATTATTTTACACACACACAAAAAGGTATTGTCTAATAAAGATGTATTAAAAGAAGAGAACGGGCCATATGGAGACTACATTTCTATTCTTTACTCTGCTACTATCCCAAATGTGTGTGTGCATATAATTTCTCCTTCTTGGCAGTCTACAGTCTTTAGTAGCATTACATGTCTATGATCTGCCTATCCTGATGGGATAATGGTAATCTATTGTAGCTTCTCGGGTAACAGTTGCCATGAAAAAGAATAAATCATTAGGAAAAAGATGTCTATGCCAAAGTCTTGTTCACACAAGAGAGCGTTGTTGTATTTTCTTTTGCAAACTTATGGTCTCTGCAGATTGTGGTACATTTTTACATTATAAATTCCAGCTGCTTCTAGCATTGCATATTGTGCTCAAAATAACATGCCCTACTCTCCACAGTGGCTTTTTCTCCCCCACCAGCTCCTGAACTGTATTATTTCAATCAGGCTTTGGCAAAGTAACTAGTGATTGTTTTATGTTACACTGATTGCAGGCTCCATGTACTACTATTTATTCTGAAAGGCAACTATTGTATCAGTCATTTCTCTACTGTCTGAAATGATCCTGAGAATCCATAAGGAAATCTGAACAAACTATTGGGCTTTTAGAAGACTATAATTAGAATAAAAACTCTTTAAGTATTTTCAGACTCCTGAAACACCGAAGACTCCTGGAAATATTTAAAGAGTTTTTATTCTAATGATAGTTATTTGCAGGAAGGCTGTGCTGGTCATTAAGTAGGATTCCCATCCATGGCTACTTTTAAAGGCAAATCCATGGCTCCTGATGAGCAGTACAGATATCCTCTACTGTGAAGGGCTTGCTTCGACATAGAGGACATTTTGTCAGGATTTTAAGCTCAAACTAGAATGTAAAAAACAAACAAACCCAAACTCCCTCTCTTTCTCTCTGGGACCTTTGAAAAGTCCATTTTCTCTCACCAATGTCTCCTTGGAATAAGAAGCTGTGGCTACACATCCAAGTAAAACAAATGTAAGAAAAGGGAACTAAGAGAATAAACCAGATGTGGTTATCCAAAATGTCAAAGGCATCTCTGGTAGGCAAGATGTACACCTCTCCTAGGATTAATGCCTCATTCTGTCAACATTCCCTCTCTGAAGTATCATTCTGAAACCTGGTCTATACATTATATGCCCTAACCCCTTTCTCAGTGGAATAAATGTATAGTGGCTATTCCATGTGGCAGCAGTGGTCACCTACTATGTGGACTAATTCTATAACATGAAAACATTGCTGTCAGTAAAAATATTTGGCAGTATTCAAGGTAAGGCAGTCAATATGCTACCCCAGGGATCAGCTACCATGCAGGAGCCCTTTCTATCATGTGGGGCTGGACTTCAATAAGTAGGAATTGTTACTTTCAAATTGGTTATAAGTTGTAGCATTGCATCAGGTCAAAGGAAAGGGGATTTATTTATGTATTTAAATGGCCTTTTGAGAGTACCCTTGGGATAAGGCAAACGTGGTTGTATAAAGTTCTGGGGATTTTAAAATCGATTGTCATTGTGAATAAGGCAGTGTTTCAGTGCATTCCTTGCATTTCTGTATTGCAATCCAAAGCAAAGGGCCACGTTGACTTAAAAATGAGGAGGTTGCCACCCACGGGAGACCCTTTTCCCTTGCTTGCAATATGCTGTTCATATAAGAATGTTGGCCAATGGATCAGCAAAAACAAGTGCTATTGCATCTGCTGGAAGGACAGCAAAGAAGGTGCCAAATAACTTATATATTAAGAATTCAAGACAATGTTTTCTTCCCATTTCTAACTTTGTGGGGAGGGGCAAAATCCCAAAACTTTGCCATTTGAGAAATCAAGGCTGATGGATAGCCAGTTTAAGTGATTAGGCGCAATCACATACAAGACAAAACATGTTACTTTACTATTGTATTAATATGTGCAGAATAACATTTGTGTGTTAAGGCCTGAACTAAGGCAATGTCACAATGTGTTGCATTGGCAACGATGTTAAGCAGTGCCACAATAATAACAAGAGTAACTAGTAGTTTCATAATCAGCTGAAAGAAACATTAACTTTTCTGGACAGAAAAGACAATTGAGAGCTAAATGTCTGAGATATGTATTTATCCAAAATTGTTTCAAGACTTCTCCTATTTCTGTGGTAGACCCTTTTGCGTTACCTTCACACCTGGCCTTCGTGCAAAGTTTACCATCTATACTCTGTTTTTAATCCCTGTGTATAGGTCTGGAATAATTTTTTTCTCCATATTTTTTTCTTTTTACAACTGTAGAAAAAAATCCATAGTAAAAATAACTCACTATATGATACATATACCCAAAAAACAGATACTTTATATAATAAAAGTTGAAAATAGTCACTTTTCATAATAAAAATAACTTCTATTTTTTGCTTATTTTACAATATACTTAATATTCTCTTCTTCACTTAAAAAGTAAATAGGTCCCATTTTTGATAGCACATCTGAGTCGATACAAAGAGGAGAGGGGGGCAAACGGCTGCCCGGGTGTTTATAAGCACTTTGCACAGCCACATTCCACATGCCTCTCCAGCTCTTCTGTGAAGGTGGAGCCATCCACACACTGGAAACCATATTTCCGCCTCTTGCTTCGACGGGCAACGCAGCACTGATTGTTCCCACAGTTGCCTTGACATTCCACACGAGACACCTTGACCACGGACACACAGGCAACAGAACCTTGTTGCTTCCGAATGAATTCACGGATTATCTCCCCTTGGCAAATGTTCTCTGTGAAGACAGACAAAGACATGTCAAAAAAGATCAACTGCTTGATCCAAGGTTCGGAGCTAAATTCTCACCACAGTCCTTGTTAACATTGATGAGATTGCTGCTCGGTCTCCTTAAGGATCTATGATGGCAGCATTATACAGGCATAACCTCAGTGTGGGATTAAGTTGGTGATGACTGTTAACATTATACAACAAAATCAAAAATTCACAAAACAATGACAATTTCATTGAACCAATCAAAATGCATAAAATATATCATGCAAGCTTTTGAAGTTTCATCAGGAAAGAAAAACCAGAAAAGGGATGATGTTAAAATCACAGGCCTACATTTTTTTCTCAGATGTTACTTTTGTTGTCAGTTAAGATGCTATGGGGAATTTCAGTGTAGGCCGAGCCACCCCTCTTCTTGGCCATATGTGGACTGGGGGCAACAGGCAACAAATAGCAGGTAATACATCTTAACTGGCAACAGAAAAATACAATGTGGAAAAGAAACAGAGTCTTCATCATCTCCCACCCTACAGTTTATAGCATCTCACCTGAGTTGAGGGTTTGCAACACGATCTGAGCTAAGTCACTGTAATGCCAACTCCGGTGTTGCTCATACATTGGCTGGCATCATGTTGGTTAGTCCTAACTAGAGTAGAGCCATTCAATCAACTGTTGATTGGTAAGTCAACACACAGGTTTATCTGATTGAATGAATGGGTGTCTCCTAATCAGGACCAGCAAAAGAATGTAAGCCTATGTTTGTTCACTTGATTGTGTGAAGCTATTATCAGTTTCAGTAGTCAAACAGCCAAAAGGTGAGTTGTGTAGTCCAGTAATGTTTTCCCCAAGCAGATTTTGATACTGATGCTGACATAAATTTTTTTTTTGTGGTCAAGTAAATTTTGACCTGTGCTGATTCCTATGAATGACTGATCTCTAAAACCCCCCATCATCAACTGCCTTGCTAAGGTCTTCTGACAGTTATGTCGCTTCTAAAAGGATGCAGAGGCCATCCGCAAAAAGCCCTGACTTATGTGACTTCGTGTTCATGCAATAGATTGGGGTTCAAATTGTGGGTTATTCAAATTGGCTCCTTTATGAATGACTACCATAAGGTCACTTGTGAACAGTGGTAGAGTTGTCACCATTGCTGGGGAAGCATCTATTAATGTTGCTACCTTTTGTCAAATACATTGTACTAATATTACAGTTGTCTTATTGACTACCATCATACTATTTATTTATTTACTATATTTATATCCCACCTTTCTCTACCCCGGTGGGGACTCGAGGCGGCTTAGAGATAGGCAATAATTTAATGCCTTTACAACAATATACAGTTAAAATACATTAAAATTAAAATCAAAGTTAAATACATTAAAACATTTCAAAGCATTACTAGAACCAGAGCATTGCCTGCCTGCTTCATTTTCTGTTAGTCTGTCTTTTCCCTTTGACTGGGGAATAAGCATATCACAACATCACTCTGAATTAGGAGACTAGTTGCCCAGTGAAATGGAATTAATGATGCAGTCAACCATGTATGTATGTATGTTGGCAATGCTAGGACTCATGCGACTAGTTGCCTGGGACAGAAGGACTGTGGGAGGACTCTGTTGCTGTCTGTAAGATATGAACGCTCCTACTCACTGCAAGCTGGAGATTCTTCCTGTTTATTTTCTCATTGCAGAGAATTATTCATTAAAATCTGGCTGCAGCATCATGAGAAAGAAACTTTGCTGATGTTAGTTTCCCAATAAACAGCTTTAAATAATTAGATACAAGGCTACACATTCTAGTAATAACATAATAATCTGCCACATTAAAAAGGTTGACCTCAGCAACAGAGATATTAAAAAAAACCAATCCAATGAAAATTAATATGGACAAAAAGACCCAGGGCAGAATTGTGTTTCCAGAAATTTGTCCTCTACCTTCAATTATGTAGACATACCACTGCACAGAGGTCAGACACATGTGTGGGCAGAGTGTATATTTTACAAGGAAAAACCCCTTAATATAATCCCTGGAAAGGCTCTGTGTGAAAGACCAAAAAGCTGTAGCCACTCAGTGTAGACAATGCTGAATTTACACAGAATTAGTTATCTCATAAGATATCTCTTTATATTTATTATTGTGACATCTGGAGTTCCCCCTTTCCTTAAATGCCAGGAAACCTTCCAAGCTAGAGGTAACCAGAAGTATAGAGCCAACTTGGCTGGGAGAGATGAGTGGAGAAATGCAAATTCTCAATGTGCCTCCTATTTATTGAGTGTCTTCAAAATTTTGTGACATTTAAAAAAATTAATCTCACTATGTGAAATATACTTATTACACACAGAGCAGAGAAAATGTGAGACACTGTGCAGTTCTACCCACCTCTGTCGCAGTGCTCCCCGCTGTAGTTTGGATCACAGTCACAGTAGGGCTCCCCTTGCACAGAGATCTTACATTGCCCATGGCCACATTTCAGAGCTCTGCAGGAGCTGAAGGAATCATTCCTCCTGTCACAGTACGCGCCCATGTAACCTTCTATACACTTACAAGTGTAAGCAGAATTGGTGGCTACACATTTGCCATGGAGACATCTGAGAAGTGAAAAACAGAGGAGAAAGCTGGCAGGTGAATCTTGGTTTACACATGTAGTTTGTATAATGCCAGCCTGAGATCTTCCTGAGAGCCACTATCAGTAATAAGAATATTGGTCTACATGAACCAATGGTGCAGTTCATTTTCAAAGACAGGCTTTGCAGGTATTAACGCTGGGCACATTCAGAGAGGTTGCCCAAACCATTTCTTAAAAGACTGAAATGATATGTTTTTCCATCCTGAGGTATTCTCAGGGAACTCCCAAGGTCAGTTTAAATCAACCAATAATTTTCCAAAATGAAATGTACCATTTCACAATATGCTTGTCTCTTTCTGTAATCCTGAAACTAGTTAAGATGGCCACAGACAAGAAACAAAGCGAATGAACCCAAAAGAGGCGATTCAACAGAGGAATGATAGCAGTAAAAGAAAATGATCCTAATGCAACATAGCTAAAGCACGATAACACTTTGACTATAACAACTGAATAACAATGTAAAAGAACGCATTGGAAATTGGGGAAATGTTGCCTGAGTCTAGATGAAACCAAGGGGGTGGTTGAGACACAATGGAGTGGTGGGGGAGAAAAATTCTGGACTATTTCAATAAAGTGTCTGGATGCAAAAATATGAATATGCAGGTAAAATTAAAAATTGAAAATCTAGGTATTACCATGGATCCTTTCCCTATCTGGAAAATCTCTTTTCTATATATTACCTTTTGAAAAATAAGCTCTATGGAATGTATGCGTGTGTGTTGGATAATTTGCTTTGATGTTTGATACAATTTAACTGTTATGGCTATTTGTATTTTGAAATGAATTTTGTATTTTGAAATGAACTTGGAATTATCAACTAGAGAGGTTGAGACCAACCCCCTACAACTCTCCAACACAATATCCTGGGAACGTCACCGAACTACAAATCCCAGAATTCTGTAGAATAGAACCATGGCAGATAAAATGATATTGGACTATTACAACTGTGTGGTTTAGGTGAAAGCATAGTAAGTTCCAAAGAACAGTAACTATTTCTGTGAATCACACTTATACCAGGATGGGTAATTGTTCAATGGGCTGAGACCAATTTCCATTCTCCTGCTGCTCCAGTGCCTTTCAGCACACCAGGACTGATACCTCATCTGATACCTCAATTATTTTTGGCCAAAGAAGCAGCTGAAAAAGGAAATAGCTGGTGTGCTGAGGGGCAAAAAGGCAACCCAACATTTATGTATATAACGTTATTCAGTTTAGGGGCAGAAAATTTTGCTAAAGAACTAACTGGAAGTTCAGGGGTTTTTTAGGGCTCTAAGAAGTTGGGTTTGAGGGTTCTAGACATCTGAATAAAAAATGAGCTATAAACCAAATAATGACTCTTTCTCAAAAACAACGGTGAAACAGGACAAGAAGTTTCAGGGGTAATGCACTACTTCATTATTCTGGCCATCTCTGCTCTATCCCTGATTCAACATAGATGGAAACTTACTTGTTATTGAGGCAGGGATCATTAACTTCTTGGTCACACAGGGAACCTGCCCAGCCTGGGTGGCACTCGCAGACCACACTTGTTTTCTCAACAGAGCGGCAGATGCCATGCTTGCAGATGTTACAGGACATGCAACCAGGAAGGACCCCAACTGACTGATGTGGCAGATCCTTGAAATCCTGAAGCTCATTATTAATACGGACATCATGAATGCACCCATGAAAACCACTGGGAGTCCTTTCTGTACCTTGCCTCAGAGAAGAAAGCCCTGTAGATGTAGGGATGCCTATAAAGAAAGTCACAAACACCACAGTTAATGCTTAGGAACTTCCATGGCACACCATGTGGATGTAATGAGTAAGAAGATAAGTGATAACTTAGAAGACAGTAACCCATGTTCAGAGTTATTCCCTTGGACAATCTGGCTAGGGCTTTGGGGAGCATAATTCATTTTGAATCATATTCTAAAACAAAACACAATCAACCATGAATATTGCACCATGAAGAAAGAGTATATCTCTGTAGTGAACCCTCAAGAATACACAATTTAAGGCAAACAAAAGAAAAAAATGCAAGCTTAAACTCCAAACTTTGGTCCTCTAGTTGTTTTGGATTCAACTTCACAAAGCCCTAACCAGGTTGTCCAATGATTAGGAACTGAGTGAGCTGAAGTCCAAAATACCTGGAAGAGTAAAGTTTGGGAACTACTTGATTAGTGTGTTACACATGAACATGGTAGAATAAGGTTCAGACAATAGTAAGTGATGGAGTGCACTAATTTGCGGTGGGGAGGATTTGTCTTCAAGGCTAGCCTACCTCACAGGAACTATAGAAAGGATCTACTGTGGCTTATCCTGAATCGTAATCAATATAAAACTAAACATCTGTGTACAGCCATCTCATTTTCATTTATCTGTCCTTGTGTCCTCTATCTTTTTTGTTAGCTATCAGTCACTGTACAATCATTGATCAATCATTGTACAATGAGTGTACATTGTATCAATCACTGTACTCTCCTGATTTTTTTTACTGCAAACATCATAATTTGTTGCCACTGACCAGAGCTGGCTAATGCTAGAGTTAAACATCACTAGGACAGGATTTAAGCCATCCCAACTTAGGGGGACGGGGGAATCCAGATGCAATTGTTCTAGCCTTTATGTCATACAATTGCGTCTGGGATTTCCCTCCTAAATTGAGATGGCTTAAATCCTCTTTTCTACAGAAACCTGAACTCACCTCCAATGTAGAGTGGTGTGTCTTCACCAACTCCAGGCTGTTTCTGGAGTTTGCCAAGACTCTTGGGAGCACCCTTATCGACAACCAAATTGAAGGTCTGGTTCAGCACCACCAACTCCACACTGTGAAACTGTCCGTCATTTACTGTTTCCACGCTAACAGAGAAAACACAAACAGAAGGGAATTAGGATTATTTAAGTTTGATTTGCATGTTTATGTTGCAATTTCACCTCCAATCGCTTCCTGAAGAAAAATATAAATACATGCCCGAGTCAATATGTGCAGTTAGACTACTATATATATATATATATACACACACACACACACACACACACACACACACACACACACCTCACTTTTTCTTTCTACAACAGAGACTCAAACTGGCTTACAATAAAACCAGTGCAATACAATTTAAAACCTAAAAATATACAAATACTAAAATAAAATTAAATATTAACAGTATTAAAAATAAACAAAATCCTTAAAATGATTAAAAACAGAGCTAAAACCACAGCACCCCCTGACTTGGCCTTTACAACTTTCTTCTTTAACAGCCTATCTGAACAAAACGCTCTTAGCCTGCTGCTGGAAGAAGTGCAAAGAGGGGGCCGCTCCAGCTTCCCTGGGAAGAAGGAAGTTCCAGTTGAGGGGCAGCCACTGACAAGGTCCTTTTTCTCCTTCCCAGCAACCAAACTTGAGGTGGAGGTGGGACTGAGAGCAGGGTCTCTCCTGAAAATCTCAGGTTCTGGGAAGGGAGATGAAATCAACATGGACCATGTTAGAGGTGTCAAGCATATAAGCATTGAACTGTGCTTCTTCTTTTCAACTGTGAGGGTACACTGTGCTCCTCAAAAGCACAGGCACATCATTTCATAAATCAGTGACTATAGTGACCACACCATCAAAATGCAACACAAGCTAATAGGTTTGTCATTTTCAGACTCCAAAGGGAGACTTTTATGGGTGTAAGAGACACACATATTCCCAGCCTTGGGAACTGCAACTGGCTAATATGACATTAAGATGCATTCTAACAATTCATTTCTAGGTGGCAGTAAAGTGTTGCGAAAGGTCTGACTCCGGGAGAACACAAAATAATCTGTTCTGCTTGCACATTAGCCAATGAACTACACATTCATCTCAAAGCAAAATGTGAACAGCTTGGCAAAGAAAAAAATGGATTTGAGGCAAGATGAATGACTACTAAATTAAAACTTTCTAGGAACGAAGAGGGATGAAGCTGATCTGTATAACTGACAAAGGAAAAATGCAATAATGTCTGAACATCTGTAAATGATCTAGAACTGCAAACATATCTAGCGCTCCTTCAAGGATTATTTTGATAAGAAATTAAACGAGAAATAGCAATGTATAAATGTGCGTGTGAGACAGAGAAAGAGAGAGAATTTAAAATGAGAATTGGATCAACACCAACTCTGTGTTTGGATTCATAAAGCCAAAGCTTGTCTTAGCAACTTTTTGCCAACCAATTAGAAGCTCAAGTTTTTACACTGGGCTCACATCCAGTAAAACTATTAAAATGTTGTACAATGAGCAGAATCTGCCCTGTTTAAACTATTCTTCTGGAATTCACAATATATACTTTTTAAAATCCTCATTGAAGCATAAACACTTTTCAAGATACTCAGTTTCATTTGATTTGACATTTCCCAGGGAAAAAAATGCCGTGACTCTGTACACAAAATAGTATTAAAAACCAAGATTGTTCAACAAAAACACAATGCATGGAAAGTAGCCATTGTCAACAGTTATGACAAACAGGACCAAGAATGGGACTTTGCTCTTCACCATATTTTCAGAAGTCTCATCAAACTCTCAATAAACAGGACAGATGTGATGATACAATGATGGATGAATGACACTATGTAAGAAAATGTGAAAAAAATTGTTCCAAGTTTGAAAGTGTTATTCCTGTTTAATTGTATGGTGCTTACTTTGAAAATAGTTGTTATACTCAAGAAACTTTGTTTTTGTGCGTGCCACAAATTACATATGTTGAATTGGTTGAGACTCTTGAGATATTCATTGAAAAATTATAACACAATGTGTTGCAGGATGTCCCAGAAAAACAACGTTTTTGAAGTTTAATAAACCTTTTACATGTTTTTATGACAGAACCAATTAGGATATGATATTTATAACCTATGAACAAAAATCGTGTTACATACAGTGTTAATTATTGTCAGTGAAACTGTATTCACACATGTCTGTATATGAGATGGATTCTAATAATACGATTTTCCTGAAGATACATACTAGCAAAGCCGAGCAAAGCTGTGCTCTTGGAAACAGGCACTAAAAATGAAAGCTTTTTGATAGGTTTAACAAGGATAATTTAGACTGCAAATTAAATAAAGAAAGAACAATACAATATTTAAAATGAGGAACAATTTTAACAACATAAATTGAACAAAATTTCAATGGAAGATCCCAGGGGTCATCCAGTCCAACCTCCTTTTGCCATGAAGGAAAAGCATAGTCAAAGCATCCCAACAGATGGCCATCCAGTCTCTGCTTAACAATAAATAGTAATATCAAGAAGAGCAACTCTAGGGACCATGCAGTCCTTCCCCATTCTTCCATGTAAAGGAGGCCATGCAGGCCATGGCGTTGGTGGCATTGGGACTATCCCCAGGCAGCGCAGCAGCACTGGGGCTGTCTCCAGGCCACACAATGGCATTTGGGGCTCCCCAGGCTGCACAGCAGTGTTGGGACTCTCCCTAGGCTGCACGGTGACTTTGGGATTGTCTCCAGGCCACATGACAGCATTGGGACTTATGCCAGTCTGCAAGCTTCATATACAGGCGGAGCAGGGACAGAGCCCCTGACTGTGCTTCACAGAACCCCAAGGGCTCAGTGGAGCACAGTTTGAGAACAGCTGCTCCAGTTCAACTTTGTATACCTTTTAGTATACTCACAACCCTTTAACCACATACAGTTGGATCTTATTATCTGCTGGGGTTTTGGTTCCTCTGTTTACAAAGAAAATCATTTATGTAAGAAAAATGATTTTCTTACATAAATTTGGCAAGACAAGATGTTCTTCAATGTTACTTTCATAGGATTGAAACAATCAATTTTCTTGTTTTGAAAGCATGTAGACATTTTTATTTACTTCCAGTTACTCTGCTGGCAGTCCTCAGTAGTGGAAGTAATTAAAAATATTCCCAGCTTGAATAGAAGGCAGAAAATGAAGTTGTTTTGCTTAAACTGAAAGCTGACTGCTCTGAAAAGAATATCCTGCTGCCTCACTAGAAACCAGATAGTTAGCCGGGAAATTAAATTGCTTGCACTTTTATTATTTAGGTGGCAACATACATTAATGGACTCAATATTTTTCAGTACAAATACTGGAAACAAGGAAAGGAAAATCACTTGTTTGTTTTTGAATGGTGCAAAATGTGAGAGGAAATAGGAGAATGTCGTGTGGCAGGTGCTACAGCCTCCTCCAAGATCTGCTGATGGACTTCTTCCATCAGGACAGGGATCCACTTGGATCCAAGCCAATTAATCCAGAAAATTAAGGGCAAGACCACTCACGTTTTAGCAAAGGTATTTAAGCTATTTATCAGTATATTATACATCATAATAGTATATCATTATCACTGTTGTTGGCATTCAATGAATGCCTGTTGTGATACCGCCCTGAGACCCACTCCGGGGGTGAGAAGGATGGGATACAAATATGTGAAATAAATAACAAATATATCAAAATGGAATGGAATTGTATGATTTGACTCAATGAGAAAAATCCTTACTTATCCAGCACATGTTTCATCATGCAAAATGGAGTTATAAGTGAAAAGGCTAAACCTAACTGTCTTCCATATTATGGTCCCAGTTCAGATCAGGACATTCACAGCTGCTTTTGCTTAACAAAGTACCATGAGCCCTTGGCATCTGCTGAGGATACAACATCTATGGATACTCAAGACCTATTATATGTATAGAATAGTACAGTAAAATGTTATTTGTTATATAAAACGGCAAAATCAAGACTTGCTATTTGGAATTTGTTTTGAATATTTCAAAACTATAGATGGCTGGGTTTGTGGATGCAGAATCTGTAGATATGGAGGGCTGGATGGAATACAATCACTTTCCATGAATCGTATAGGTAACCTGGGAAAAGCTATACACACTTCTCATGAACAGTGCAGAAGCTGTGCCAGAATAATAATGATCATCATCATCATCATCATCCCTATTCCTAAACTTTCCTTTACACAATGAGATAGGTAATTGGCTGCATAGACACCATCAGATTAGCTCCAAACTTTAACAGTAAATCATTCTGTTCCAATTTTAAATACTGCAGAAAAGGCAGTATCAAAATAGACTATCAAAGGAATGGCAAATGGAGTCCTTAGTTGGCTGAATTACATTCCTTTAGATTGACAGTGGATATTGTGCTAAAGGATGTAAGTCCTACAGTCCCATTTTAAAGTGTTTATCATTCCAATTATGGTACAGAATAAAAATATTCATTGGAGAAAAGAATCAATAAAAAATTATATCCTGCAAATGTCAGATATAATCACAATTATTATCCCAACTTAAATTCTTACAAAGCAGAAAATCAATAAATAGAAAGCTAAAAAGAAAAATGTAGTCTTAAAACACGAATATTTAACAATGATTGAAAATACAGGAATAAAGGCTCTCCCCAGCTTAATATATAAAATAGAAAAATGTCAACATGGGTAGTGTCTTTTGGAAATTGTGGTAATAAAATAGCTATATATTTTCAAGTTTTCAGTCTTCAGTTTCCACCAACCATCCTCTAGCCATAGCATGACCCTCCTGATAAAACAGTCCTGATTTGATCAAAGGATTTTGTTGAGTTAATTTTCTCTCTTTCAGTGTTAGTGATAAATAGCAATATATTTTATAATCTTTGCAAGAAATATTTATTAACTTCTCCTTGACATTATGTGGAGTGCCCAGGAAAACATTAATGCAAACTTTGACCTTTCTCCTCTAAGGTAAATGGCTGAAGCAAATCCCCAAAGGGTTCTTAGATAGTTTCAAACATTCCAAATAGTTTTTGTGCAAGAACAAATGAGATTGAGCCTGAGACAGCCCTTTCTACTCCTAACATCCTAGTCCATTTAAAATCTAGAATGCACCG